TGCTTCTATGTCACTGAACCTATTTTGAGATGTGTATAAGAGACAGCCTTCCTTCCTTCCTTCCTTCCTTCCTTCCTTCCTTCCTTCCTTCCTTCCTTCCTTCCTTCCTGACCCACTTACCCTCAGGTGCCAAGAGCTGAGTTACACTTCTGGTTCACAACACCCTTTTCACATGGGTCTATGCACAGCCCCTCACTTATTTCATTGTATTATATTTTAATTTTATTTCATTTTTCTTCCTTCAACCATGATTCCCACACCCATTCCTTGCTCCCAACAGAGGCATCCACTCGGATGGATTTGGCAGATGTCCTCAGGTATTTGCGTATCCTTGTAACTTATGCTCTGCTCTTTTGTATGCGTGTTTTTAATTCACACAAATGGTATTATGATACAACTTTTTTTCATTCAACACTGTTTTTTATCTATCCTGTGACTCTATGTATATTTAGTTTATTGCTTCCTATCTCTGCATAACATTCCACAGAATTTATTCACATTTTCTGGTCCTTTCCCCTAAAGTTGAAAAAGGGATGCACTGCTCTCTAGAACAAACAATGGGGCAATAAACATCCTTATATACGTCCTATTATGGATCTGGGCAGGGTAGGGATTTCTTTAGGATATGTAATCAAGACTGGGGCTGTGGATATGAACTTTATGAATCCTTGGTTTACTAGTTACTGGCAGATGACTCTCCAGAACAGCTAGACCAGTTTCCACTCCCACTAATAATACAGGAGAGTGCCATGTCCCCTCATCCTCACCAACATGCAGGATTCTCTGACTTTGTACTTTTTACCAAACTTATGTATGTCAAGTGGAATCCCATTTTAATATATATTTCTCTGACTGCTAATGTGGTTAAACATCTCTTCAATGATTTGGTAACTGTTCAGATTTCTCTTTATGTGATTTTCTCATTTATGTTCTTTCCCTATTTTTCTGCTGAGCTTTTTTTCTTTTTCTTATTTATTTACAGGAGTTCTTTGTATATTTAGATATTAATCCTTTGGTTCTTTTAACCATTGCAAACATATTTTCCCATGGTGTCACCTGCCAATTTTATTCATAGTGTTCTTCCTCAAACAGAAATTCTCAATTTTGATAAAGTCAAATCCATCAGGGTTTTTCCTGTACCTTATGATATATACATTTTAGGTCTCATTTAAGAAATTCTCTCCAACCCCCAAGTGGACAAAGACACTCTTCTCCATTTTCTTCTTTTAGCCCTATAGTTTTAATCTTTTATTTATGCCAAGTACACTTTTGTGTATGGTGTAAGGCAGGGATCTAGATTTATTTTTTCCTTCAAATAGTGAGAAAGTTGCTTGTTGGTTACCAAACTGGCCCCTGTACACAGAAGGCAAGGAGAGACCAAAGAAAGAGGAGATGACTCCAGATTGGTAGATGGAAGTTTTAATAAGCAAGGAATTTACTTAAGAGGCTTGTCTTGGGTGGCCACAGATAAGTAGATCTCCACATCTGCCCGCCAGACTTTCAAAAGTTCATATAGAGGCCTTAAGTGGGTTTAGTCTGGTATTCAGTCTAGATGGTCTTAACAACACCTTACTCTCCCAAGACTATGTCTTGAAATAGCTCCTAGTTTGGGACAGGTGGGCAGACCATACATTCCAAACACAGGGAGTGGGTGGGGGAGCCTCTGATTGCTTGGGTCCAGCTCTTAGGTCAACCAGAAGTCATGTCCTCTCAATGACCTCCTCCAACATTAGCCCTACTCCATCTACTAAAGAATCCATTTCTTCCCACCTTTTTCATTTATCAATTACCTGTACATCCATGGGTTTATTTCTGAGGACTCTATTTTGTTCCATGGTTCGGTCTATTTCTATAGCATTGCCACAATGTTTTATGATATCTATTTCTGATAGGGCAAATGTCTTCCAGTCCCAGCCTTCTTTTTATTTTTATTTTCTTTTTTTAAAAAATATATCTTTGTTGATTTCAGAGAAAGGAAAGGAGAGGGAGAGAGAGAGATAGAAACATCAATGATGAGAGAGTCATTGATCGGCTGCCTCCTGCACACCCCTGACTGGGGATCAAGCCCGCAACCCGGGCATGTGCCCTGACTGGGAATCGAACCCCAATTGCCTGGATCCTACATCAACACTCAACCACTGAGCCATGCCCGGCCAGACCCAGTCTTCTTTTTCAAAATTGATGTTATCCATGGACTGATATTCTTCCATATAAATTTTGGAATGCTTGTCATACTCCTCAAAAATTGCTGCTGAAATTAAAATTGGGATTCCTTTGCATTTATGGATTAATTTGGGGAGAGCTGACATTTTAAAACATATAAGTCATTTCATCCATTAACATGAAAAATCTCTACATTTTTTTATATTCTTTTTTATACCCTTTAAAAGTTTTAGACTTTTTTTCCATAGTGGTCTTTTTCATGCTTTGATATTTCATTCCTAGATATTACATAGGTGGTGTTCTTGTGAATGGTGTCATTTTTTAAATTCTATTTTCTCTTTAATTGTTGTTAGTGTAATGAAAACATTATCTCTCTTATTCTTACAGGTTGTTGATTCTGAGACTTTTCCATTAGGTAATCATGTTATCAGCAAATAATGATACAATAAATTCTCTTCTCTTTCATTACTTTTACTTCTTTCTTTCTTTTTTTTCAGTCTTATTGCACTGGCCAGGATTTCCAAAATTATGCTGAATGCCCAGCCAGGCTTGGCTCAGCGGTTGAGCATCGACCTATGATCCAGGGGATAGAGGTTCGATCCCCGGTCAGGGCACATGCCCGGGTTTGTGGGCTTGAACCCCAGTCAGGGGCGTGCAGGAGGCAGCCGATCAATGACTCTCTCATCATTGATGTTTCTATCTCGCTCCCTCTCCCTTCCTCTCTCTGAAATCAATAAAGACATATATTTTTTAAAAATTATGCTGAACAAAAGTGATGATAGCTATTTTCTTGCCTTGTTCCTGATTTTTTTTTTTAAATGGCTGTATTTAAAGTATTTCTAGTAAGTATGATATTTGCTGCAGGTGGCAATATAGAGCCTAACAGGTTCTGGAACTTCCCTCCTATTCCCAGTTACCTCAGAGCTTGTATTTTTACATTACAAATAGTTGATTTTTTCTAATGCTTTTTATGCTTCTATGAGATAATTGTGTAATTTTTTCCTGTTAGTTCATCAATATGATTTACACGGACAGGTTTTCTGTTATAAAATTATTTTTCATTTCTAGGATAAATTCTATTTTATTATTATATATTATTTTTAAAACACTGCTAGATTTGGTTAGCTATTGTTCTTTTTTCTTTTTTAGGATTTCACACACATTTTCATATATGAGATGAGTATAATTTTCTTTTATTACCATTACTTTGTATTGGAATCCAGGTTTTACTGACTTCGTAAAGTGAGTTGAGAAGTTTTTGCTCTCTTTCTCCTTTCTGGAATGGCTTGCATATGGTAAGAATTGTATATTTCTAGAATATTTGGAAGAATTTACTTGTGTAGCAGTATGGGGTTAGAGGATTCTAATTCTTTTTATGGAAAGGTGAATTATTTCCTTATTTTTCTGACTCCATTAGTGGTTTTGTCTATTCACGTTTTAGATTTCATATCGCCACAGTTTTGGCCTTTGTGTACTTTTATAGACATTTATTCCTTTTGTCTCAGTTTTCAAATCTATTGACATGTATATATGTGAGTATATAATTTTAAATTTCAAATTTCTTTCTGTATTTCATTTATTTCCAGTTTCTTTCTTTTCCCCCACTTTGTCATTCTCGCCAAAAGCTTGTCTATTTTATTTATTTTTTAAAAAATTAAGGTCTTGCTTTAATTAAATCTATTTTCTTGGTGTTGCTGTTGTTCAGTATTTTATTGACTTCTCATCCTCTGTTTATTATTTCCTTCCTACATATTTGTTTGGGCTTTCTCTGTTGTTCATTTTCCAACTTCCTAAAGTAAGAACTGACCTTATTAGTTTTAAATCATTCTTGTTTTTCTTGTTGTTTTGATAAATATAAGTTTATTAAATCTATAAATTTCCTTCTACATAGTGATTTAATGTGTTCTACAAATTTTGACTGGTGTATTTTTTTTTAAATATATCTTTATTGATTTCAGAGAGAGGACAGGTGAGGGAGAGAGAGAGGTAGAAACATCAATGATGAGAGAGTCACTGATCGAGCCTGCAACCCGGGCATGTGCCCTGACCGGGAATCGAACCCCGATCACCTGGATCCCAGGTCGATGCTCAACCGCTGAGCCACACCCGGCCGGGTGACCTGTGTATTTTTAATACTGTTTAATTTTAAGTTTTCTCTTTAAAAGACCAAAGGGTTTTGTTACTTTTTTAAGTTTCCGTAGTATAGTATGGTATATACTATAGTATATTTTAAACTTTAGTATATTTTAAAGTTTATTTTCTTGTTGCTGATTTCTTATTTTATTGCATAGGGTCAGGGTCAGGTAATACTGTATTATTTGATTCTTTGGAACTGATTGTGGCTTCCGCCATGCTATTACATAGTTGATTTGTATAAACGTTTCATAGGAGCTTGAAAAGGAAGTGGATTCTTTCTTAGTGATGATGATACATGATAGATAGGGTGTCTATACTCAAACAGAAGGTAGGTAGGGTAGATAGACTCAGGCTCTTGGTGTCAGTAAAACAAAATTGGGCATGAGCTGGGTGATGGGGGAGGGATTTTTTTGTTTTTACCCTCTGTATCCAATTTGAGTCAGCTATGCTAATAACTTATTCTTAAGGAGGCTTGTATTTTATTGACAGTTGTAAGAAGAGTGGCAGTAGAGAATGAAGGAAGGAAATTAATGAGGCTCTCACCGTGGAAGGAGAATTAAAGAAAGTTGCTTCAGTTTAGGTCCTGTGGATGGCTCACAGCCTGGAGAGAGGTAATGTGCGTATGTCTATGTGAGTGTGCATGTGCGTACCTTTCACTTGGGAACCAAACTGCTTTGTTTTGGGGCATCTTGAACGGTGGGGAAACACAAAGAGATAATTCTTTGCTGTTACCTTCAAAACTGCTGCTTCCTGGGCAAAAGGAGAAAGCTCACTGCTGTGCTGGGCAGGAATAGGTAATTAATCGGAACCACTTTTTTTTTTTTCATTGTTCCTGCTCTGTGTGAACAAAGCTCAAATTTGGCAGCAACGTAGATGGGGGTTACACATTAATGGGGTCATTTGGCCTGAGACTAGTAGTTTTTAATGCATGCGAGCTCCGCTGGGGCTCTCAGAAATATTTTGGGAAGCGGACTTTGTAAAAGACTGAATAAAAACAGGGCAAGAACTCAAGGCCATTGTATTTTGGGCATTAGTGTTAATACGGCTTTATTTGTAGTCATAATATGGTTTGACATACTCGTTTTTATATGTGTGTGTGTATTATCATTTTATATGTATTTAGACAAATATAACATATGTAGCATGCATATAACTTTTTTTCACAAGTAGCCTACAGCTTTGTTACCCTGCTTCATCCATTCAACAATACAGCTTTGATATAGTATAATAGTCAATAAAAATATTCCACAGACAGAAAGAATGAATACATTTGAAAATTTTAGGTATTCACCCACTACTGGCTTGTCTGATCAGACCCAAATTACTTAGCAGGAAGTATCCAAACATTTAAGTATGCAAATGTATGAAACCAAATGAGACATCATTTAATTCCTTTATTGTCTTACAGTGAAAGACAGCAAATGAGCAAGCTGATGGCTTCATGCCAATTATTTTTACTCCGATTTCTTTTATGCTAAGGTATAGCTGAAGGCAAGCCCTCAAATTCTAGCACGAACATGCAGCAGCAATAACATGAATATTTTAGGGCCTATAAGATTCTTTTCATGGGTTACGGTTGGAAATAAAAAATTTAAGTTGCAACTGCTTTGGCAGATACGTTATAAACAAACAACTGGGACTAAATGTAAGCGTGTGTGAATGGCCTCAATCCCAGACTTGCTTCTAAACACCCCAGTTCTAGGCCCCCGACCCCCACCCCACGGGATCATCTTCCTTCCCGTCTTTCTAGATGCGTCTTTCTAGATGCGTCTTTTACCACTCCTAATTCAGCTCCACGCCTCCCTCCAGTCACACAAGCTTACTTGAACAGGACAAGCATTCTCACCATTGGAGGAATATGGCCTAGGGACTGTCTGCAGACCCTAAGGCCGGCCAGCCTCCAGTGCAATGGTGGCAACACAGGAACTCAGAGGGACTGACAGTGGCTGAGCTAAGAGAGCAGCCACCCAGCCTGGCAGCGACGTTTCCTCCTCTCTCCTACCTGACTGAACACCTAACTTCCCCAGTCCTCTAGCAGACTGTTTCTATTGCTCAGAACCGTGACCGCAGCAGGCACCACAGAAAACCCCTCCTTTTGGCACATCACCAAGCCCTGTCCTGGTGACAGCTTGTCCGGAACATCCATTCACATGGAAAGGGAGACATTATTACTCTTGAGGAAAACTAACCAGAGTATTTAACCTATTTGTTTAAGGGTAGTTTCCCCCTCTAAGGGAAAAAGAAAAGTACAATATTTTTGTGTTTAAGGCACATGAATAATTAAGGAACTTCACTCTCTTTTTCTTACCCAAGGCACATCGCTGCTTAAAGTCACAAAGTGCTGGCCTAGCCAGTGGTTCCAGAACCTGGGGCCTCAGCACAGCATTGTAAAGATTCATCCTCATAATAAATTACTACTTTAATGGTCATCCTGGTAACATATGGTGAATGGAAAACACTTTCTGTAGGTTAAGCAACATAGTTCCCATTAACGGTTTACTATACTTGAGACCTTAAAGAAATTTAACTAACTGCTCATTTGGTGCTGTTTCTGCTGAATTATTTAAAACCCCTCCTTACTGCTTTACCTTTGCATTTGCATTAGAAAGTACAAAGCCACATAAGATTCCTCTATAGCTTCAAATGCTCTAAAAATAAATACAAGCTAAATCCCAACCCGAATACATTTCTCTGTTTACACTAAGACCTTTCTGTTATCCTAAGCTTAGGCAAAATAAACAAACAATACACAAAAATTTGTAAAAGGACACAGCCAGAAGGTTAGGAAGTTATTAAGGTAACAAAAATTTAAAGTCTGGTGGATGGCCTTGGGAAGTGCTGGAGACACGTGGTTCAGAGTCCTACATTTAGGTAGAAAACTCAACATTTGATTTGATGACTAGTACAAGTTCCACCATCTCCAGAATTACATAATGTAAAATATAAATGTAAGTACTTACACTTATTGATGCTTACACATTAATGATACTGGCTTAGTTGGTTGATTTGAATTTTACTTATTGGAATAAATAATCAAAATTGAAAATCAGACTCAAGACATATAACTTTTGCTGACCAGTTTTATTTTTTTATTTTTGCAAAGCTGAGTGTTTCTCTTGCTCTCCCGTCTCCCCTGCCCTGCAACTTTTTTCTCATTATATGAAGCTTAGTGATTGACTTTAAGCCTACATCAGGTAACTTTCTCAAAGTAGACCCAAATGGTTTCATATTCCTCACACACCCTTTTCTGGCTTCCAAGAAGCCTTTCTGTAAGCCATCCTCCCCCTGGAATGTCTGCTTCTTGCTGCCTTGTGTCCCTTCCCCCCCATTCAAAGTGCTCTGCTTCGGGAAGCTCTTCCATAAAGGAGTTCTCAGCCAGCCCCATCCAGGTCCAGGCATTCTCATCGCTCCGCTCTGATTGTGCCCTGTATCCTCATACATATCAACTTCCCTAAAACAGTTTTCAAACATGGTTTTGAGTTACTTTTGTGTTGTCGCACATTTTCACTTGGGCACAGCCGATTAGTACAGTGTCTTCCTCACAGTTACCACTCAATAGATGTTACTTCTGGACAACTGGGAGCTTAGAATGCCAGTTTGAAACAGAGCGCCATCTACTGGTAAAAATGCCACAGTATTATCAACGCGATTACATCCTGCCTAGGGAATGTACACATTCAATACATGTATGTGCACACATACACACGTTCTCACAGTTTGTTTAAAGAATAAGAAATATACTATATCAAATCAATACTTTAGTAAGATGTATGTTTTCAAAAGAGAAATGACAATTAAACAAGAAAGGCTCCCCATTTAGATCCTCTAAAATGAAACCATTGTCTCCAAAAACTGAGTGTGAATTGTAGGCTGTGTCCTCTGGATGTTTAGTCCCTGTTTATCAGGCTAACATTTTAGCTTATTAAATAATTTCTCAAGCCTTTAAGAACTCCAGTCTCTCTACTCACTGTAAAGCAGATAGCATCACGGGGAAATTAGCCGCACAGGAGTGGGCCTGTAAATTAAGAGAGAACTTTGCTTTCCTCGCGCAGAGGCCGACTGAGGTAGCATGGGATCATTAGTGACCGAGCAGATGCCCCATCTATAACCCAGGGACAGCTCTCAGCTGTACAGAGCGCCTCTTGTTTCCTACAGAGAGGTGAACTCAAAACTTGTCACCGGTTTTTACACCCTCTTAATCTTCCTGTTTATTCTGTGCTTCATTAAAGTCAATCTCCACAGGGCAGACTGTCATCCGAGCTCGGCCGGTCCTGCCGTCTGCTCTCTCCAGAGAGCATCCTTCATCCTGATAAACGGGCTGTGAGCCGAGCACGTGACCGAGCTCCTTAAGGTAAATAGATTACAGAGAGCTGCGCCTTCCACACTCGAGCGACAGAATTTGATAAGCAGGAGCCCTGACGTGGGCATCGCGGTGGAGACAATGCTCTTTCTGAAAGATGGGGTTTCACATTTACTGTTGCAAAAGGAGATAGAGGGTATTTATTTTTATCACCGTGTCATACTATACCTTTAAGGCTGCATTAGCTCGTGTCACTCACCTGCCAAGTGTCTCCCTCGGGATTCAGCATCATTTATACGACATTCTCTATGTGCCAGGCTCTGTGCTAGGCACTGAAGACACAAAGCTACACACAGGGAGGGAAGATTGTGGCCATGGTAGGAAGCACAGCGCAGCTCCGTGGGAAGCTTCAGACCATGTCATCCCAGAGCAGCTTCTTCCTGGGAGGTATGAAGGTCAAGAGGGCAGGACAGCCAAGGAGATGGTGTTATATTCTGCCAGGAGCTGCTCGGGCTCCTGACCTGCCTCAGTTTACTCAGTGGTCATAGCAGCAGTGAGGAGCGCCATTGGCAGGGCAGTAAGGGCAAGGCTGCGACCCCTGTGGGACTGCTGATGGGTGCACGTCCACCATCCCCAAAGCTCAGCTCAGCTCCACTCTTCCTTTAAGCCCCCCAGGCCCTTACTGAGCCACAGGCATCTCTCCTCTCACGGTATACTGTTAGCATTTTATTACATTCAGTCTCATAATCTAATTGTTCCTTGTATGTTGTGTTACCACAATAAGATCACAGTTGTGTCTTTCACTTCTTTGAAATGAGACAGACATGCATCAGGTGTCAAGTACTTAATCTCAATTAGGAATCAGAAAATAAGAGCTTGTAGAAACTTTCCTGCTTTCACAGAATGGGAAATAGATTTGTAGAATTGCTGCTTTATCCAGGCCACGTGTCTATCAAAACCTCAAGTCACCATGCTGGGAGCTGTGGAGGAGACAGAGACATCCAAGAGGCAGGCCCAGCTCTCATGGACCTTTCAGTGAGGCATGGAAACAGGTCATGTGTCCCAAGCACCAAAGGTGAAAACCCACAAGGAAGGTAAAAATAAGTCTGAGGGGTGGCAGGTGAGGGAGATAAAGGGTCAGCTGAGGAATAAAGGGTGGTTTATGGAGAGGGTGGCACCTGAACCTGATCTTGAAGGACTTGCTGTGTGGGAATGGGGGGAACAGGTTTCAGGCATGAATACATCTTGGCTTTCACCAAGCTTTACATCTGACTCCAAACCAGACCACGGGGGTCAGCTGGGACAACTGTGGTTGTAGCTGCCATCCATGGTTAGCCTCCTGAGGGTCTGCTGAAAGAGGACCTTCCATCCACCAGAATCGGAGCTCCTCAGTGTGGTGTCCCCACTCCCCACACAAGGGGGGCTGTCTCCTCTTTTTTCTGTTTCAATCGTCCCCTCGCCTCCCCCTACCCAAATGCAGGGGAGCTTGCAGCTCGACTTGCCTTTGGCAGTGGACAGTCTGAGATGGGGCCCTGACCCTGTCCCATCAGTCCCAGCCCCAGCCTGCTAGACCAAGGCTCACCTGTGGGCCCAGCTCCTCACTGCCCACATGTGGGTTGCATTTATGCTCCTGCCTCGGGCCTGGCCCTGATGAGCACAGGGTTCAAACCATGCCCCTGGAGTCAGCACAGAGTGCTCTCTCAGCTCTGCTTGCACTCTGCCTCCGGGGCATGTACTCTCCATAGAGAGTAGCCAGGCTGGCTCAGACTGCACAGACAAGGAGCCCAGAGCCCTCCCCCCCCAGGCCTCTCCCCTCAGGCCCCTACAGCCCTCTCATTTCTCCTTCAGGCTGGTTCTTCACAGCTCTCCTGCCTGCACAGAAGAGTCCTCCTTTGCCCAAGCCAGGATGCTCCTAGTCATTCTCCCTGACCTGCCTGGAACTTGGGTCTCTCCTACCCACAGGAGTAGCAGCTCCAGCCTGTTGTCCTTTCTGCTCACCTGCTCACCCTCCCTGGGCATCTCCAGCGGCCAGCCCCCTCCACCTTCCACAGCTGCTTGCTTGCTTTCATCTCCCTTTCTTTATTCCCTTTGGATTTAGGGGGAGAGGGAAAGCATCCTGATGCTGGGACAGCAGCTTGGGGTTTGGGGAGGTGGCACAGAAAGGCTGGATAATGCACCTCTCTTCTAACTTAAAAGTCTGCCCCCACAATTTCTTCTGTGGCCTTTCCTCTAGACCTGGGTCTTTAGCTTCCTGCCCTCAACGAAGCGGAAATGGGTGACAGCCACATCAAGGGGAGTTCTGACAGTGGCACCTGGAGAGAAGGGGAGCGAGCGCCTTGGGGGCTCCAGGGCCTGGCCCTGATGATCTGTCTGGTGGGGGCCCTGAGGCTCCTCCCCTAGGCTGGGCAAGCTGTAAGCCACTGTTGCTTTAGAGTTGTGATATCTTTTTCACCTTTTATTGTTTAAGTTCCTTTATCCCAAAATTTAGTACAAGTAAACATTTAGATATGGCAAAAATATATGATCTAGTTGTAATCCTTGGGTAGAAATGCAGTTTCAGCTAGTTCATTGTCACCCTGTCTGAGGTAGGGCAGTGAAGTAGGGCTTTGCCCGAGCTGCTTTTTTCCACCTTCCAAATACTCCTCACTCCTGTCACCTGCCCATGGGTGGGGGCCTCCACCCTGCCGTCTGTCCATCCGCAGGCTCTGGCAGTGCTGAGCCCGGCTGAGCTCGCACTGCTGCCCCCGAGCTTCCAGGTACTTTAAAAAGCTTGCATAGGATTTTCTGGGGATTTGGACCAAGGGAAAAGGCTAGAGGGGTGGCCTTTGTCTTGTAATCGACCCCAGCAGCCTGGTATTTGAAAGCGTGGGCAGCAACCTCCATTCTCCTGGCCTGATATGATTGACAGCACTGGGGACCTGTGGCCACAGAGCAGCCCAGCCCCAAGCCAGTCCCATGGGCAGGGAGGTCTCTGGAACAAGGTCCCACCAGGCTCTTCTCCCCTTCCACAGCCCAGCAACCCCACTAGGGGTTGTTCACTGTCTTAGATGAGCTCACAGTGAAGATTCAGGGGCTATTCACTGGCATTAAATACTGAGTATTTATCTCCTCAAAAGAAGTCTAACACCAGGAAAAACTGAAAATAGTCTTAAAATAGTTCTCAATTTTGAAATTGTCCTGTAGAAGCATTTGAATGTGTGGTAAAGTATCCTTCTCAATTTACTAAGCAAATGTTTTAGAATCCGTGAGCCCAAGGCCGCTGAGCCCTAGAGCTCTCTCTTCAGACCGCAGGCCTTGGCTCCCTCTAGCGTCCCTGGCTCAGCCTTCGTTTCAGGCTTAAAATGCCCAGGACTTAGGAAATCTTTAAATGGAGACTCAAAGCCCAGTTCAGCTAACTTACCCTCCGTGTTGACTCCTGACCACGTGCATCTCTTCCCCTCAGTGAGTTCCTTTCTCATATCCTGTTGCTTATAACGCTTTATTATATTCAGCGTATAAGATAAGCTGTTTCATGTGTGTTGCTTCCCCCTCCCACCCAAAAAACAATCACAATGGTGTCTTTTACTTTGAAATGGGAAAAACACGTATCAGGTATGCAGTAAGTGTCTAATATTTTAAATTTGGAATTCAGAGAATTAGAGTCAGTGGGAAAGCTAATATAGTTTCCTCCTTTCACAAAATGGGAAACAGATTCATAGAATTGCTTTCTTCATTCCACAAGTGTCTAATGAAACTTCCAAGTCACCATGCTGGGTGCTGTGGAGGAGACAGAGACGTCCAAGAGGTGAGCCCAGCTCTCGTGGATCTTTCAGTGAGGCATGGAAACAGGTCATGTGCCCCAGTCACCGAAGGTGGAAACCCACAAGGAAGGTAAAAATAAGTCTGAGGGGTCTCTGGTGAGGGAAATAAAAGGTCAGCTGAGGAATAAAGGGTGGTTTATGGAGAGGGTGGCGCTTGAACCTGATTTTGAAGGATTAGCTCTGGGGGAACTGGAGAAAGTTGTGGTGGTGCTTAGGGTCAAATTACAGCAGACCTTGAATGCCAGCCAGAAAGCTCAACCAACTGGTGAGCAGGAAGCACCATAAAGGAAGAACTTCAAAAAATTTCCTGCCTCTCAGACATGTATTGAACTCCTTTTAAAGAAGTAAATTTTCCATCCTTGGAGGTTTAAGTACTGACTGGATGTGCTTTTATCCAGCTATCTGTTTATGACTTATAGAGAGTCATAAGGGGTCTCAGGCATGGACTAGATAACTGCTAAAGTCACTTCTGATTGAGATTGTGTAGTCAGGACTTTGAACCAGACCTTGACCCTATGTCTTAGGGAAGACTGTAGAATTTCTTTCTGTCTCAGCAGGTGCTAAGTTAATGCCATCTCGGTTAATAAGTGACATGAACAGAGTTGTGCTTTAGGCAGAGGAACTTGGCAGCAAGGTTTAAACTAGATTAGCAAGAATGGAGAGACTGGATACAGGAAGGCTGGTTAGGATACTTATTCATTTTCAAGACCTAAACTAGGTTCCTGGAACTGGGAATGGAAAGTAGATTGACACTGTGGATGCAGAATCAAGATGATATTTTGTTGTAATTATTTGTGACCCTCCTCAATGGATTGAAAATTCTATGAGACCAAGAAGTGTATCGTATCTGACTTTATATCCCCACTGCCTAACAATGACTAGCACATAGAAGTGCTCAATGTGAATTACATGAGTTTGTGGAGTAAATGTTGATGGACTTTATGATCACATAATTGAGATGTGTTATTTGAGGGGCACTGGATATCCCAGCTGCTGGACAAGGGGCAGCTGGAGTCTCTGGGCCTGAGCTAAACTTGGGTGGCCCTGCTCCTGGAGCAGAGGGAGTACAGGGGAGAGCAGCAGTCCCTGCTTCCTTGCTAATCCAGTCTCTCCGGGCCCACCCGCAGGCTTCATCCCCACACCCTCAGGCCTTCATCCCCACACCCTGGTCAGAACTGTTCACTGTTAGGTCACCCCCACCCTCTCGCCTTTGTACTCTCTCATTTTACTTAACTTCTCATGAGCATTTGACACAGTTAACCATTGCATTCCTGGAACGTCCCCTTCACTTAACATCCAAGACATTATTCTCTTGATTTTCTTCCCACCTTACTGATGACCCCTTTCGTTCTAGTCATTCTGGCTTAACCTCCTATTCCCAATTTTTAAATCAAGGGTTTTCAGCCTTAGCTGCACATTAGAGTCACCGGGAACTTTCAAATCTCTTGATACTCAAGCTGCACCCCACACCAATTAAACCAGAATTTGTGAGGGCGGGCACAAGTTCAATATTTGTGTAGAGCTCTCTTGGTGATTCCAATGTCTAAAGGACCGTTGCAAATGTCAGTGTTCCTCAGAGCTTAGTCCTAAATCTCTACCCACCTCTGGCTATACCCCTAGTCCCGTGGGTTCCAAGAGTATCCTTATCATGTTGACATGCAGACCTATACTTCTAGCCCCAACTTCTCCTCTGAACTGTAGACTTGTGTGTACAGTTTCCTATTCACAATGTCCACTGGGATATAGACATCACAAATTTAACAAGTCCAAGTAGAACTCTTGATTTTTCCTGACCCCAAATCCATCCCAGATGACAGCATCATCATTCGCTCAGTTGTGCTGGCAAAGATAACTTGGGACTAATCTAAGTTGTCTCTTGTCAGTCCCCACATCCAATTCATCTTCAAGTCCAGTTAGTTTTCTTTTTTAAAAAAATATGTCTTTATTGATTTCAGAGAGAGGAAGGGAGAGGGAGAGAGAGAGAAACATCAGTGATGGGAGATAATCATTGATCAGTTGTCTCCTGCACGCCCCCTACTGGGGATCGGGCCCACAACCCCAGCATATGCCCTGACCTGGAATCAAACTGTGACCTCCTGGTTCATAGGTCAACACTCAACCACTGAGGCACACCGGCCTGGCCTGTTAGTTTTATTTCCAAAACACATTCTAGACCCAACCACTTCCCTTCACCTTTACCACCACCATTCTCAGCGCTCGCCTGCTGTACAGCGGCAGTTTGCCAGCTGTCCTGCTGGCTTCACT